TCCCACAACTCACTGTCGCCCTGGACACCAGACATAAAGTAGAAAGATTTTTATTTATTTATTTTTTCTTTCTATTAAGAATGTAAATTCCCAAACCCTCTTAAACCCCCAATTTCCCAGAAAAAGTGTAGAGGAGATGTGTTCATTGTCCCCAATGTTAGCTATGTCCCTGTTTGCTATATAGTTAAATGAATTGCAGCCTACTGTTACTTTAAAGGACCACAGCATTTTTTTGAACCAACTTCCTATAACTGGTGAATACATTCGCAAAAATGTCCTTTCAGGTCCAGAGTGTGATTTAGTGGCATCTAGCCAAGTCTGTAGGAGAACTACAGTTGCCTATGCAAAAACGCAGTGACCAAAATCTAGAACCAGTGTTTGGTTTGTCCGTTCTGGGCTACCGTAGCAAGATGGCGGTGCAACAATGCGCACACATATTTAGCTATGAACTCATTCTAAAGTAACAAAAACACAACAATTCTTAGTTTCAGGTGATTCTACACTAAATAATTCATACTTAACATTTTGTTGCTACACCCTGGAGACATTAAGTGTCAGCGTCTTAGCACTCTAGTGTAAAGCTGCCTGCCGCGTATAATAATTAGCAGCTAGAGTGAACCAAAACAGTAACTTTACGGGCTGTAAAATCAAAACACTGAGCTGAAACGATCTAAAAACGTCAGTGGTGATGTAAAGTTTCCGTGAGCTATCACTGGTATGGTCCTTTAAACAACACAGGCAGTGTTTCCTAAGCGGAGTGGACAGTGGCAGGATGTGGAGCTGAAGAGTTGGAAAGTCCAGAGTGAACAGCATGCAGTCATGCTTCAGTTAACTGGAGTCCACCAGAGGTTAAGTGGGAAATAACTTAATGACAGAAACTTCTGAAATATATGTACAGGCTGAGAAGATAACTACACACTATCTGACAACGCACGTGCATCCTCAACTGTTTGATGTCTGCTGGGGGCCGATAGTTTTGTCTTTGCAGCGAGGCCGCTTCCTAAAACACACAGAGCAGAACAAACCCTGGCTGCTGCTTTCTGCAGCGAGGCCTGCGCACGGAGTAATCGTTTGCTCCGACCCCTGGGACTCTGGGGGAGACACTCTGCTGCTGTGCTCCAGACTGGGGAGTCCATTTTACTCCGGGCTACATGGTCCAGGCCACCGTCTAGTGCGCTGCTTCAGTGCCCACACTGCTCTCAGAGGAAGTGACCTCAATACATCCAATAACCCTGCTCGCACAAGCGCGACAGCTGTGGAAGATTGGAAACATACCGGGGTTTCTTATCTTACACACGGCCAAAATGAGAGAGTAGATTGTTTTGGTGGTGTAAATGTCAAGGGAAGAATGATTCAAATGGCATCTTCAAAGAAAAAAAGAAGTATTCAGCTGCCAACTGTTATTGAGGAAGTTAGATAAAACTGAATCATAATAAATAGTATCACATATCACAACAAAACCGGGCACTCTTTTATCTTGGGCATGAAATGAAATACCAGTATCATGGTTCTCCATGCTGACTAAAACCAATAATATAAAATATAGATACAATTTCATTCCTTTTTCGTCCCGCTAGCTTAATGCGATATTCTCATATTCTTAATCAATTGATTATGATGTGACAGGAGACCACCCCCCCCCCCACTGAGGCCAATCACCAACTGGCTGACGACCTGAGTGCCTTCTACTGCAGGTTTGATAAGCCTACCCTCACACCCCCCACCTGCCCCATCAAACAACCATCTACACCCCCTGCCTCCTCCTCATCTCTCTCAACCGACCCCCCACCGGCACTGAGGATCTGCGAAGAGGATGTGAGTCAGCTCTTCCACAGACAGAAGACCAGGAAGGCACCAGGCCCAGACGGTGTGTCACCCTCCTGCCTGAAAGTATGTGCTGACCAGCTGGCCCCCATCTTCACACAGATCTTCAACCGATCACTGGAGCTGTGTGAAGTCCCCTCATGCTTCAAACGCTCCACGATCATCCCGGTCCCCAAGAAATCCTCCATCACATGATTAAATGACTACAGGCCCGTCGCCCTGACGTCTGTGGTCATGAAATCCTTTGAAAGACTGGTGTTGACCCATCTGAAGAACATCACAGGACCCCTGCTGGACCCCCTGCAGTTTGCCTACCGTGCAAACAGGTCGGTGGATGATGCAGTCAACATGGGACTGCATTACATGCTGCAACACCTCGACTCCCCAGGGTCATATGCAAGGGTTCTGTTTGTGGACTTCAGCTCCGCGTTCAACACCATCATCCCGGAGATACTCCAACCCAAACTCTCCCAGCTCACTGTGCCAGCCTCCACCTGTCAGTGGATCACAAACTTCCTGACTGACAGGACGCAGCAGGTGAGGCTGGGAAAAATCACATCCAGCACCCGGACTATCAACGACGGTGATGAGTCTGCGTACAGGCGGGAGGTTGAACAGCTGGTCCTCTGGTGTAGTCAGAACAACCTGGAGCTAAACAAGCTCAAAACTGTGGAGATGACAGTGGACTTCAGGAGGAGCCCCCCAACACTGCCCCCCCTCACCATACACAACAACAATGTATCCGCTGTGGAGACCTTCAGGTTTCTGGGATCCACAATCTCCCGGGACCTGAAGTGGGCTCCCAACATCGACACCATCCAGAAAAAGGCACAGCAGAGGTTGTACTTCCTGCGCCAGCTCAGGAAGTTCAACCTACCTCAGGAGCTGCTGATCCTGTTCTACTCAGCCATCATCCAGTCTGTTCTCTGCTCCTCTATCACTGTGTGGTTTGGATCGGCCACCAAACAGGACAGGAACAGACTGCAACGGATTGTCAGGTCTGCGGAGAGGATCATTGGTTCCAGCCTGCCCTCCATCCTGGACTTGTTCACCTCCAGAGTCAGGAAACGGGCAGGAAAGATCACTGCAGACCCTTCACACCCTGGACACAAGCTGTTCCAACTCCTCCCCTCTGGTAGGCGCTACAGGGCTCTGTACGCCAAAACCACCAGACACAGGAACAGCTTCTTTCCACTGTCCGTCACTCTCATGAACAATTAAATAAGTCATATTGCACTATTACCACCACTTATAATTCATGCCATTGTCTATAGGTTTTGTAACCATACTGAGCATTTTGAGTCAACAAGGAAAGCTCCAAATTACATCAGTAATTCAGAGGGACCTACTGGAGATCCTAATACAACTTCCAATGATCTGAAAGGAATATCAGGAGCAAGGTTCAAAATAATCTGTGGTCTCTACAGGCCTAACCAAGGACGGATAAAATTATCCTGAGTCTGAAATCTGCTAAATTCTGCAGCTATTTCCCTCCTTATAGCTGCTGTCACCACCAGAATTTTTTACAGCGAGTCGATGAGGTAGAGCATGACTGATAAAACAGAAATTAAACAGGTTATTCAATCTACATGAAGGCGGATCATCTGCCTATGGCCTCAATCCACAGGCACAAAGGCAAATTTCAGCTTTGCAGTGTGATAATTGAACACACTGAGCCACAGGAGCTGATTTGTGCTGATTATACGGGCCTCTGGGTCTGTGGGCACCACGGCCAGGTGATTGTGTGGGATCCTGCATTTGGCACTTGTTACTGTTGTTTTCCACAGAGATGCTAATCATCAAGCATGCGCCGGAGGCATGATTAAATATCACACAGCTCCCTCGGTTTTTGGCCCTCTCACTGTGAGTAAACCTTCCTCACCCACAGGCTGAGGTGGCCTGCAGTCTGCAGCAGGAACAGGCGGAGCTCCGCAGAGACACAGCTCCCCCTACAGGCCACACCGCAGAAGACAACAACAATCAGGCCAGTGTGCAAACTCTGTCGTTTTACATCAGCCCAAACTGAGCCTGGTCATTTCATTCAAATGTTTGGCTATTTGTTGGGGCAGTGGTAATTGAATTGTTGTTTCCAAAAACGTTGCTTGTTTTGTCTTAGTTATTACACTACAGTTGCCTTTATTTCTCCTGTTTCTCTCATAATGTTATATCAATCAAGACACAAAATCATCAACCAAACAGCGATCTTGGAAAATTGAGAATTCTGTGAAATAAATGGAGAAATAAATGAGGGGGCAAGACTGCCCTCGTGTGGTGTATTCAACTCTAAATGGACTTCATTTTTATATTTAATATTTTCTACTCTGTTATTTTTATTGCTTTACCTGTACCATAAATGCTGCTGTAGCGAAACAATTTCCCCTTGCGGGATTAATAAAGTAACTATCTATCTATCCATTTTGATCATGGTGAAAACTGTCAGTAATGACAAAATTTGCATGATGAGCATACTAAAATATATGCATATATGAAAAACATAGATGTATTTCTTCAGTCTACTTGTGTACTAACTGTACTCTAAAATGAAGCTTGCAAACACACGTTGACCCATGGCTGTAGTGTTACTGTGAAAGTAGTATTTCATCTTATTTTTAATTATACTAGAAAATGCAAATTACCTTTATTATCCTCCCATAACGAAAGATTGACTGGGGTCATATGTGATACAAAGTTTAAATGTCATATGGCACCTTTTAAGAAATTCACATCACCTGGACTGGAGTCAATTTTACATTATTAGCAACAAGCTTCTGGAAACTTATTAATGTGTGATTTGACAGAGTTTATGTTTAATTAGGACTTGTATTATTTCTGTACAGTCTAACACATAATCTCTCGCTCTAAGCTATGAAAGGAGTTCTGCTGGAGCGACATCCTTCTTTTTATATTCTGTTTTATCCCTTTTGTCAGAAACGGGAAATGGGCGAGTCAGAAAATGGGCAGATTTTAGGGGGTTTGGTACCTAAGACGTGTGTTGCACAGTAATGTCAGTAAAATGAAACAGGAAGCTTTTCAACAGAGGGACTGATAACATGTTTATATTTAAAAAGCATTAATCCAAACATCTGTTACATTATGATATAAAACAGATGCCCATGATTTTTATTTCTTTTGATAATCTGTGAGGGATCGAACTGGTAGGCATGAGGAGTCTCAGGTAGGTTTTCAAAAGGAAATGGATTTATTGACTCTAAAATTAAACAACATATCAACAAAATTAGCAATTCATTTCAGGACCCAAAAAGAGGTCAAGTAAACAGAACTTTACTCAGGTCAAGTCGATTTTATTTGTGTAGCCCAATATCACAAATCACACATTTGCCTCAGAGGTCTTTACAATCTGTACAACTATGACACCAGACTGCCTACAGAGCTAAAAGGTTATTTTATTTACCAATTTCGACAACAGGTACAACAGGATGACTTGAATACTGTTAGCGAGGACATTTGCAACAGTCATTTTTAGGATTTATCTGATAACCCATTAGCAAGATAAAACTTACAATCACAATCGTCTTTATTGGCCAAGTATGTTGACACATGTGAAACCGTTCTGTAAACCGTAAACAGCATACAAATAGTGCAAAGCATTGGAGAATTCATAAAGTGATTAAAATTGTAACAAAAAGAAGAAAAAATGATTTTCCTTACATATCTTGCTACGTATATTTTTTGCCGATGGTAACCAATATTTTATTTTAAAACTTAACCTATTCAATACTGTAAGAGCCATATGAGACTTGACAATATGTCTTAAGTGATTTGTGTAACAAACGTGGAAATGCTCCTTTAGTTGCGTTACTGACTACGTCACAGCCAACAGCCCTCAGTTGAGGTTAATCAGTCTGCGGAGCAACATAGTTTTTTGACCGTTGTGCTAACGCTGTTAAAAGTTGAGCAAAGAATGTTTCTTGTACCTTTATTTTGTTGAGTAAACCTTTTTAAATGAAGCTACTGCCTCTGAAGAATCATCACGCATCAAGCTTATTGCCAAACACAGACTGTAACAGTAGTGGTAATGCGGACGGAGGGAAGATTGCTGCTCCAAATACAAAGCAAAGGCTGTAATGTGACACCACTTTAAATACATTTGGTGATTTCCCATATGGAAAAAAAATGTAAAATCTGGACACAGAAGGCACATGATTAGTTAAAAACAAAAGCTAGACGGATGTGAATGAATGTAAGTTACTTTTTCATGATAAAAATTATTAATTCATGTTTCGTCCCGATTATGAATCTCATAAAATGAGGTCCCCTTTTTAAGTTGCTCCTTACTTGCATAGTTAATGGTTTGACCTCATGCCTGCATGTTCAAGTGTCCTTGAGCTAAACACAGGACATACAGTAGGTGTGTGAGGGAATGCCAACTCATCAAATACCAACGCCTAATCAGTCGCCCGAAGCTTCAAACCATGACGCTCTAGGCACCTCTTAAGTGTCAGTTTTGGACGAGGCAGAGACAAATCACTTTTCACGCAGTAGAGTCTCTTCAAAATAAACATTTGTCTTCACAGGAAGTTAGGTTTATGCAACAAAACTACATAAGTTCATGAAAAGAGTGTGTTTGACGTTAACTGGACTGACTAAAGACGAAATGTCAACATTTAGGTTTTCACGAACAGCGTTCTCCTGGACCTTGCGAAGCGCTTCGTTCTGATCTCATCTTAAAGCGCTATATAAGTGCAGTACGATAACCATTTACCCACACATATTAATAACACCATATTTATAACAGTAGATGAAATCATTTCATAAAATCCCAGACACCAGAACAGAGAGATTTCCATACACTCCTAAGTGATCACAATTCCTTGTGATAATCAGATAGTTGCGTTTTCCTGGGGCGTTGTTGCACAATTTTCCAGCTCTGCCTTCACTTTACTTGCCTCCGGTCGCTCTTCTGGCTTCTCCCGCAGCATTGACTTAATGATTTGCCCCTGCAAAAAAAACAACGTCTACTGATATCTTTGTACCAACAATAATAAATGCTGTCATACTGCTGAAGAAAACTGATTTTTTCTCAAAACACTGTCATATGTTCTGCTTTATATTTAACAGCAGCAGTCCTGTTTTGACTCCTCAACCGTTGTCTGTCTCATGTGGCAAGTAAGTCATTAAGGATAACAAGAACATTGTAATCTACCTCTTGGGGAAAAGTCCGTAAAAACTCTATGGGGAGCTTCTGGCGTCTGGCACCCTTCAAAACCTGGTATTCATGAAGTGATAAGAGAAAAAAAAAATGTTAGTTAATAATAATTCAAATTATAGTCCGTTGAATGTTACAAATAAATACAGGAAAAACTATAAATGGCAGATTAAAAGATGAACAATAAAGATCCATCGTATCTGCTTTCTACAGTGCAGTGTGTTTGCTACACACTACATACTGAAAATAAATCAATGACTGGTGTAAACTTAGCCTATAGACATAGGCCTACATAATATGGTCCATTTCCAAACTTTAATAGTAACACACAATGTTAACGCTCTGCTTATGAAAGACTCACATCTCCTCTTTCGTGGCCAGAAGAGACTTTCCAAAAGAGTTCCAAGTAGATCAACCCCAAAGCAAATATGTCCACTTTACGGTCATAGTTCCTCTTACACTTTATGATAGAAGGAAAACACAGCATTGACAAAAGGCACTTCAGCTGTTCAATGTTATCATTTCATTATTCATCATGAAAGATTAACTAGTTATGCTCACGAGGCAAATTAAGTTTCTGCTTTCAGCCCAGTTTTAACTGCTTCAATTTTAACTTGAATTTTAAAATGGTATAAAATGTAGGTATGTGGGTATGTGGGTGTGAAGCCCCAGTCCTCTGTAGATCCATATCGAGCTACATTCTAAGCCCGCCCACTTTTTACAGTCAATCAAATGCAAAAGAATCCCTCTCGTAAATATACGCAGCTCAAATATTCCATTTCACCGGGACTTTAAAGCAATAATACAACAGAATTCAAAGTGAAAGACCATCTCACTTGTTCAGGAGCCATGTAAGATCTGGTTCCACGGTCCTCTGTTCTGTCAATCAAAGCATCGTCGTCATCGTCATCATCTCGGGTGACCAGACCAAAGTCCCCAATCTTCACTTCTCCACCCAGACCAAACAGGATGTTATCAGGCTTACCAATGAAACGAAAAACACAAATTGAAACAAATAAAAGACAACAAATAAAAAAACTTACCTCTGTTTGAAACCAGCATTGAATCTTAACAGTCAGCCTGATTGATCCTTCATCCTTCACCCATCCTAGACCTTATTCCTTATTCTTGCTAATTCTTATTTGTTCATTTTATAATTATTCATTTGAAAGTATGTTCCAAGGTTTCAAAACCTGATGGTCTAAATTCTGTTGAAAGTTTCCTCCATCCTACCAGGAATAATAATCAGGCGGTAGAATTAACAGATGACCAGACTTTTAACATAATGAGTATAGAAATAATAGATAGACGTCACAAACATTTACAAGGCAGAAACATATTAGTTAAGCAAATTGTTATTGGTTTAACTTCAACATCCTGCCTGAATGAAAGACCTCGTCAATGAAAGCCACCACCTGACTCTGTACCAGTGAACACCAGACCAATATACTGGTTCTATGTTATCCGCCCTCTGACCAGTTTCACTACCGTCTTACACCAGGATCAGTCTCAGGGTGCTGGCTGGGCCTCGTAGAGGTAAACTGGACGACATATTAAAATGCTTATACACCTAAAGTTACATACAGGTAGAGTCTAGACTTAAACATACATAACTGGGTATTTTGCTCACTGTGAACACTGCAAAGTCTGGTCTCACCTTAAGGTCCCTGTGGACGTGCTTCTTGGAGTGAATATATTCGACTCCACCGACTAGTTGCTGAGCAATGCTGAGACCTTCTTCTTGTCTCTCGGAGTCTTGCAGAGACTCAGTGTTCTTCTCATCAATCCAAGCTTTAAGTGTTCTGGTGTCGCATAACTCCAACTGAATAAAGAGGTACTTTGCCGATGGATTATCTGCAGACCTACAAAAGAAAGGAGAAAAAAAAATGTAATTACGCTCCTTCAAAGTGGCAACAGATTTGGCAACAAATTTTCATTAAGTAAATGTTGATTGCACAATGTGATGGCTATAGAAAAATGACACCATCCGCATTTAGATTGGTTCCCTATAAGCCTCGACAAATTCTGTCTGCCACCGGGTACGAGCTACAGGGAAACTCCTCCCGTCAAAACAAAAACAATTCAGTTGATGGAGGATGAAAAAGAGGCGAAGAGGTAAAAACAAACTGAGATAAAACAAGAGCGAACCTTGGACGAGCATTCGCTCAGCGGAGGGAGCTTCAGGACTTGAGAGGGTTACAAATTCAGTTGCCGTTCTTTCTACTAGACCAGTAAGTAACAAAACCTGCCTACTTGTTTATCCTACCGAGTGTTTTCCCCTGTCTCTATTATAGTCCTGTGTTGTTGGTAGCTGCTAGGCCCCGAGGAAGACGGAAGGCAATACGGTTTTCTTTGCACCAATAATACCACTTGGAAATGCCAGGGAGGGAAAAGTGGTCTGTTTCCATTTTAGCTTGAAATAAAAAGGTAAGACTAAAGGTAAGTGCATGGGACTCACTGGGAAGAGCTGTACCCAGCCCAACTGTCAGCTGAACTGTTCGTTGATTCAGAATTCCCCTGGTATTCTGAATCCTCCATCCAAGATGTGTAGTATCTGACGATATTCTGGTGGAGGAGGTCTGATAATGTCCCCACCTCCCGAAGAGCTTTCCTGATCCAAAAGAGAATAGAAAAAAAGAATCATTAACAAAGTACTTAGCAGGAATAAAATACTACTAAATACGGCACAATGCACACTGGAGCCGTACGACTGTATACTTACTCTTCACAGCAGACAATCTTTACAGCATAAAACCTCCCCACCAGTTTATCTCTTGCTTTGAAAACACGACCAAAGGATCCGCTGCCAAGACACTCCATGGGAACAAAGTCTGACGTAAACCTGTTGAGAGTAACGCTATTCTTTCAGCAACAGGTAAAAAAACAAAACATAATAATGTCTTCTTGATTGTATATCAATTATTGTGAGAGAAGTTTGACATCATATCAGAATATAAAACACATGCTACAGTGCAAATTAATGTTGTTCTTCATACCGTGACTGGATGGACGTCTCATTCTGACATTTCCCCATTTTCTGGTCTTTGACAGCATCCTTAGAGAATAAAAGTATAAATGGATTTAAAATATTGAACCCGCTCTGATTATTAAGTTGTATACTTTTTAAGACCTAGGACATACAACGTGTCCTTTGTTACATCAAAACAGCCAAGTAGCATGTAGTCTTTTGGAGTGACTCTTCATAGGTGGTGTGAGATCACAAATTGCATTTACAGAAATTTGATTTTTCTATTTACTATCACAGCTTTT